AAAGAGAGTGTGGACAGAATTCGAAAGAGAACGCTTGTACCGAAGTAAGGAGGAATGGGGTAGTTTGTGGGAAGTTCCAAGGCGAACACAGTGCCTATATTAGGGCCGCAGTATCCCTCAAAACACTCTGGAGGCCAAAATCCTGTGAAACGAATGTGGACAGAAAAAGAGATTCCCCTTAGGACACAGCGAAAGAAGACTAGAGGAGCTGTTCTCTTAAACTGCCTAATCTCCGCGAACAATAATAAGAGGTTCAAATCCAAATGTACATAGGGTTCAAAATCCAGTCCCTTGATACATCATTTACATGTGTATATGGACCTGAATGGGAGGAAATGGTAAGGGGAGGGTTGTCAGGACAACTGTATAATGAGGTTTTCTTTGTGGTTTACTTAACGACACTCTTAGTATCGTCACGTATTTAAGGTGTGTGGCTATAGACGGGGTTTCGATTGGTGAACGGATTTATTAGCCACTTATGTATACATACATTAGACGTGCGGCCAATATGATGGGCATCGCTGATTCCACACTTTACAAATCACTACAGCGCCCGCTAAGCCATTTTCCAGCCCACTGTGTCTTAACCAGTCTTTCCCTGGCAACGGCTTCTGACAATGCAGATTCTTCAGCTTTCCACGCTACGGTTCTCTTGTCACAGCCACTTGTGAAGGACTCTTGTCAATTCCCTGAACCATAGCCTCCCTGGCCGAGCTCAACTGCACCTCCAGCCCTCAACCAACTCTCAGTCGTCTAACTGCCATCTCAAGAGACTCACAACTCTTCTTTCAGCTGGCCTGCGATCCTTGTTATACAGCCTCGGGGCACCTATCAGAAAACGTTTCCAGTAATTTCTCTGTTGTTTGCATATTTTTTTTTTGCCACAGGAACGTGTTCACCGAGCCGTTTTCTAGCAATGGACTTTTCCTCTTGCTTCATTATTCCGGACTTCAGGCGTCATGTTAAAGTATCTAGATCATATATTGTTATATGGTAGGATGATTGTTGACAGATTAATTGAAAACGATCTGAAAGGAAGTGGCCATGGCCTGATTTGAGGTACTGTTAAAGCATATGCCTAGTGGAATTGAGACAAAACCGAGGACCTGGGGTAAGAAGACAGCTGTGTAGGGCATTCTGTTTGTAAACACTAAACTCTGAAAAATGTATATATATATATGGAGCTTCATAACTTACACTCTTCTCCAAATGTAATTAGAATTATCAAGTCAAGGAGGATGAGATGGGCAGGGCATGTAGCACGAATAGGGCAGAAGAGGAATGCATATAGGATATTGGTGGGAAAGTCAGAAGGAAAGAGGTCACAAGGAAGATCAAGACGTATGTGGGTGGATAATATTAAAATGGATGTTAGAGTGATAGGATTGGGTGGTATGGACTGGATTAATCTGACTCAGGATAGGGACCAGTGGAGGGCTCTTGTGAACACGGTACTGAACGTTCGGTTTCCATAAAATGCTGGGAAGTTCTTGAGTAGCTGCATAACTGGCGGCCTCTCAAGAAGGGCTTAGCTCCATGGAGTTAGTTATATATACAAGAGTGTAAGATATATGGCGCTGAAGCTATATATATATATATAGTCGTTGGAAATGCAAAGGGCTTATTTTTAGCGTCCTTATGACAGAGTCTTTCAACTGTATGAAGTTGTTTCAATGTTACAGCACCAAGAAGACCATTAATCTCTGTTAAGCGGTGACCACTCTACAAATCCACTTTCTTGGATGGAAGCCTGTAATCTGAAAGCATTTTCCAGACACACTAAGACTCTTACGGGGGCATAGTAGTGGCATATGGTCTAATTCTAACTCCTGATGAAAACGTCGCCACATTTTCTGAGGAAGATCTGTTTGAGCTGATCATGTTAACCCTTTCCATGCTGAATACATACCTCTCTAGGGATAGGTTTTTGTATTCATGATAATTTTAAATTAGTTTTTGTTGTATTTCAGGATATCTAAATCATGAATATGAAAAGTATCATGTTCTTCGATGTTATGCCGTACAGTCTGGTAGAAGTTGCCGAAGTTTCGGAGGAACATACTGCCTCCATCGTCACGGTTAATGATTGAGTAAGAAACCAACAAACATAACGATCTGCAACTTGGTCCTTCCTTCATATTGACTGATATTTTGGCTTATTTTTCGACCGTGAAGATAGAAGCAGTACGTTTGTTCGAAACGTCGTTGAAGTACTACCGGACTACATGGCGTTACGTACAAAATTACAGTGCTATTTTTTTACTTGGTTCATCCTGCTCCGTCACACTAGCGATAGTATGAAAGATTATTAACGCCGTCCAATCTTTCATCCTTTACATGTTTCGGTCGGAGCGACCACCTTCAGGAGGATATTATCAGTTCATAAGGAAACTATATTACAATGTCATTGGTCATCAATACATAAATACATACATACATAGTACACTACTACAATGGTTCACAACTTGTACTCTTCTCCAAGTATAATTAGAATGATCAAGTCAAGGAGGATGAGGTGGACAGGGCATGTAGCACGAATTGGGTAGAAACGGATGCATATAGGATATTGGTGGGAAAGTCAGAAGGGAAGAGACCACAGGGAAGACCAAGGCGTAGGTGGGTGAACAATATTAAAATGGATCTTAGAGAGATAGGATGATTGGATGGATCTGGCTCAGGATATGGACCAGTGGAGGGCACTTGTGAACAACGTAATGAACCTTCGGGTTCCATAAAATTCTGGCAAGTTCTTGTGTAGCTGCAGAATTGGCAGCTACACAAGAAGGGCTCAGGTAGTACACTAAGTACAGACACTATTATTACAATGTCATAAATATGAAATTTGAACTTTTAACAATTACTGCAATGTGCACGAGTCTGTTAAATCGTCAGGGCAGAAGACTGTCTGTATTTGGAGGGAGCATATTCATGGGAAATTCCGCCAGATTTCACGGCGTCACATCACAGACGATAGTAATCATCTAATATATTTCGCCATATTTTCTGTGGTAATAAGAAACACACTTGAATTCTTAAATATGATTTTGAAGAGAGATATGTTTGAATAATATCTGGATTCTTCAATATGAAATCCATCTTGCTGGAAGTATTAACGCCCTGATGCGTTGACATAGAAATCTATAAGTTTGGGTAAGGATGGAAAAGATGAAGTTGACGGAGAAGTGTAAGGGGGGTAAAAACGGATAAAGATAAAAATAGGAGAATCGAAATCGAAATCCTCGAACCTTTCACATTCGGAATGATTCCGTAGAATCTTCCTTCCCACATATTTTATTTCCTTCTTTTTCTTATTTATGTCTTCGTGCAATATTCGACCTTATAGTATATGTGATTCGAATATTCAATAAGGTTCAATACGTAAAGGAAGTACCTATCTTCCCTCTTACAGCACGTGTGATCAGGTTTTCTGTTGAAGTCTCACCCACACAGGTTATGTTACACCAATCACATCTCTAGAAGTCCGTATTTCGAGACTTCATACCTTCTTCGCTCTTGACGAAATTTCGTTATATTTTATAACGGTATGGTTCAGTCGGTATAGGGATTTTATCTTCAGTACTGCGGCCCACCTGATCTTCTGATCAACGGATATTAGGAAATATTTCGCTGGACCTAAAGTGGCATGGGATTGAAACTGAACTTTCGTCTCCACATAGTGCGAAGGTTAAGAATTTATGGAACTAGACCTCCACTCGCTTATAATTTTTCATGACATGATGCGTAATTAGGCAGAGATATAAGTTTTTCGTTGAAAAACATGTTAAATAACATAAAAATCAATATTTTCAAAATATTTAGACCTATTAATATTAATATTTTTAATATTTTAAGACTCTTAATAAATTTTAAATATTTGCTTAATTCGTTTTTCAAGCAGTATAAAAACATAACCATTTAATCTGTGCATATAAGTGTGATTAACGAAAGGGAAAGAAACATACCACATTTTTTGGTTTATTGTAACAGACAATGTTATTACTATATATGGATCCATATAGGAGGCGTAATTCAGTAGTATAAGATTTGTTAATGTGTTGCGTGATGATGGTACGACGATCCGAAACATGTTGCTACATTGTACGACCAATAAACTCAGTTACGCACAGTGGAATGTCTATTGGCCAGAGTTCCTGCCTACAGATCCAGAGGTCCCGGGTTCGATTCCCAACGCTACCAAATTTTCTGAGAAGTAGTGGGTCTGGAACGTGGTCCACTCAGCTTCGTGAGGACAATTGAGGAGCTATATGAAGGAACTAGCGGCTCCGGTCTAGAAAACCGAGATAGATCCGTTGCGCTGACCACATGACAGCCTCTATCCGCAAAAGTTGGCACTAACTTCGCTAATAAGCAGCGGTTGCCCGGACTACAGGCCACGGATTTTTTCTTTTTTTTTTGTTATGCACAGCGGAATGTGAGCGAGTTGTTTGGTATATTGTCGTGTTTGACAGGAAAACAAAACTCATATTTACGGACATTCTGTATTCCTGACTTCGTCGATATTTCTCTCTAAATACTGTTCTTTCATGGGATTTGCATTTTTTTTTCCCCCCATAATTTCTCCCTGTATTTTATGATGCAGAATTATATCTCGCAGCGATTGTAGTCAGACACTTTTCTGGTGACAACTTTCATAATTTTAATATTCATGCATCACTGTCATTCACAAATTTTCGTTACAATCTTTCCTTCATTCTGGTGACGAGTTACCAATGTACACATGCAATATCCTTAACCTCCCCGTTACATCTTCAGCACATGGACTGTGGCATTTGGAGAGGTGTTACTGAAACTTTGTGACGGTTCCAATTGTGGATGTATATCAAATGCATGCATGACACATTACTGTTGGCCGCTGTGTATAAAATAAACATAGAAGTCGTGGCGTCGCTAGGGGACGCAGATCGTTCCGACGCGCATGCGATAAAGACAGACTATGGTTCTGTCTCATTCTATCCAGGCAGAACCGGTAGCAGCGTCGAGGGGTCTGTTTCCCTGGAAGCTCCAGTCCTTTCAGTTGGGCTGTAGTGTCCGGGGTGGAAACAACCCCATTCACGCGGGGATATGCTACACGCAACCGCCCCAACTCTTCATAGCTCTGCCTACAATAAATCGACACTTCTCACATAGAAATATTGTAACAGAAATAATTATTTGTGCACAAGATTTAAAAAAATATATATTCGAAAAATGTTTTGTATTTGAAAAAATTATAGAATTACGTAATGAAACGCACGTGGTTTGGAGAAGAAGAGAGAGAGACAGATATATGCTAATCAACAAGTCGTAGAATACAGAACTTCTGAAATTATTTTGGTGTATCAGTAAAAAATTGTGTAGAATTTGTAACGCGTAACAATTTTGAAATTATAGGACTTACAACTAACGGGACCGAAGATGATGGAAGATAAGTCATATGGAGAGGAAATTCTTCAGTTAATATCTGGAGGTGCTCTGACAGGAAGAGAGATTCTTCTGGACCAAGATTAGGTGAGTAGACGTCTTTTTAATTACATTTCTCATTTATTGTTACGAGTGACAGTATTCGACAGGGCAGGCAAGAACACGCTGCTCTGAGTTATATTATTTCTTCTTCAAAATTTTTCTAACGCTGTATAAAGTTTGAGGTTTTCACGGCGGTGTCTATGAAGAATGCCGTCTCCTGGGATGTGGCGTCGTGTAGATATTGTATGAACCGACGTTTCGGAAGAACGTGGGTTTACCAAGATCTACGCGGCGCCACATCCCAGAAGACGGCATTCTTCAAATTCTAACACTAATTTAAGTTCTGTATGTGCTTAATTTCCTCATGAAAGTACACTCAGTAAGTCTGATATTATCAGTAATGCAGTTCTAGAGTTCAGACCGCAAGTCTCGTCGCATAAACGGAATTGGCCTGTCTATCGGATGTTAGTTAAAAAATACGTTTAAAAATGAATTTATATTGACGTTTTTTTTTTTCGGATTAATTTAAATCTGCATTTGTTACGCTATTGCTGTTTGCATAATGTAAATAAATCAACCACAAGTGAAATCAATTTAGTAAAAATGAAATGTCCATATTTGTAATGCGTAAATTCAACTTTCTACTAAAATAAAATAAAAGTTATCGATATTACGCAATAATTTAAAATAATATGAGTTATTTACGTGTAAGATAATTTAATTTGTTAAATATATAGTAATTAAAGAGTAATGCAGCGTTACTTTATAAGAACGAAACTTAAGAAGTCACAGTGATGTTTAATGTAATGTCAATTTTTTTATAATCTTCGTAACTTTAAAGGAAAGAATTGCACACTTATTTGCAGCGTTGCTAATTATGGAAGTATTTTTTATGAGTTCTAGAAACCCGAAATTAACGACCTTGGGGATTCACTGCGCTGATCACGTGACACCCTCTATCCGCTAAAGTTGGCACTCACTTCGCCGACAAGCGGCGGTCGCTCGGTCGGTATAATTCGCTTGCGGACTCAAGCCACGGAGTTTGTTTGTTTGTTTGTTGGACTTGAGTACTCAGATCTCATATTGTGTGTGTGTATATATATATATATACAGTTCCCCGTGGTCTTATTATTATTGTGTTACAGGAAGACTTATAATATTAATTATTTAATTCTAGTTTTAATATTAATTTTTACCCTTTTAATGTCAAGGTTTACTGTCAAGTTTAAACTACATGTGAACCACATTTAAATCAAAGTGTATCTGTTAATATAAATATTTACACAAATACAGTATGAATTCATACTGATCAATGACGCAATTCAAGAACTAGTACCTATATTCTTGTACGCCTGGAGATGACCCAAGAAAATGGTCGAAACATGTAGCGTTAGCACCAAAAGCTAATAAAAACAATGTTCACGCTCTCCCATTATATATCTTTGGAAAATAAGCCACTCGACAAGCAGATAAAGCCAGAGACGATGTGACAACCCAGAAGACAATACTTTTCATATTCGCCGCTATGAGAGCCTCAGGTCTCGCTCTAATTAATTTGATTCGCAACATGGTAGATTCGGAAACCGGATAGCTCAGTCGGTATAGCGACTGGCTACTGGCTGGACGACCGAGGGGTCGGAGTTCGAGTCCCGGTGGGGTCAAGAATTTTCTCTTCTCCACGTCGTCCAGATATTCTCTGGGGTCCACCCAACCTATCCAATGGGTACCGGTGGGCTCTTTCCTAGGGGTAAAGCGGCCGGAGCGTGAAGCTGATCACTCACCTCCAGCTAGTGACGATATCAAGAAAATGGGGATCTATACACTCCCCCATACGTCTTCATGGCGTAATGTTTAGTTAGTTAAGCATAGGGACAGCTTTACCTTTTTACAAGCTAGATTCTTTATAGAAAACAAAATGTGTTTTAAAATTGGAAGTGAATTTAAAAATTCTTCGGGCACAGTAAAATGGTGTAGGAATTTGGCCCGATATCGCAGTTCAAATCGCCTATTGAAACATTATTTCAGCTGGCAGGCTGGAGTAAAGGTATCGCTCTAAACGAATTTGAATTCGAATTTCAACAGGGACACCGGTTATCATGACTAAGATCTTTGATGGTTTTCTTCAGCGCCTCCAAGAAATTTCCAGGAATTTATCGCGATTAAACGACACTCGCTTCCTTCCAGACACTTTTTTACTTAATAATTCAGCATCATGTTGTCTAGATATTGACAGAGTCGTGAAACGAACCACGAACCACGACACATAATTTCCTCCCATAAAAATTAATTTATAACATTCGGCGCCGAAATTCTTATAAAGAAGGAAGTGAACAATAAGACTATTTATTTTTATGGCGAGGAAATCGTTGGCTTTAGCAAATGGTTTATGTAAGGCTCTGGCGCCCCTTTCATAAAATATTGTAAGCCTGTGTCTCGGAGAGTCCCTCTATATCTATACTTTGGGCTGTACCATAATGTTGTGGCGTTAGAAAGGCTACAGTGATGGAATATAGTTGCTGATAATTAATTTCTTGCCCACAAAATACACACATCTGCACGACATATCTACCGTTTACTTAACGAGGTTCGGAGGAGAATATTTGGATCTGAGAAGAGAGATCAGAGTCAGAGTCAGAGTCAGAATTACTTTACGACTGGCGGTTTAAGGCCAGTCAGTTCCTCTTTGTGCCAAGCCCTTTGAGACCCACGACCAGCATTTTCTTCCAAATGAACACTTGCGGTTATAGCCCTTACATAACATACTCTCTGATGAGAGGATGGGTCTCTCCTTTACAATTTCTGCTGGCCCTCGCCAACGCAGTCATTTTCGGGGCCGAGTCCCGCGGGACTCATGACCATAATTTACTGTCTCCGATTTGAGACTTCCCCAACCTGGAGGGCCAGGTCCCCGTATTTATACCCTCCAGGAACAGGGTGCCCCAGTTACACCCCCAGTCACTGGGTTCTGTTTTCGTCTCCTCCTACCACTCGCAGGGCTGCGGTGGATGTATTCTAACCTGCGAGACAAACTCGGATAATGAAGGCCGCATATAAAACACCGCGTCAGAGATTTCTTCTATTGTTTCGTGTGTATTCTTTTCCACGAGAATGTGTTTACCAAGCCGTTGCCAAGCAACATTAAGGGAGATATAAAGATATATATTTCTTCAAAATAAGGAAAGCAGGCTAAATATAGAACACGATCGTCAAAAACCAGGAGGAAAGAGACTACTTGAAAGAACTTTTTTGAGTTGGAGGAGTCACACTGATATGATCTCATTGACAGAGTATAGATTAACTTAACTTGGCTCAGGATAGGAACCAGTGTTCGGATTTTGTGAATAATTAATGAAATTTGTTACATTTGATGTTCTGATAGCTGTGAACATTTAGAGTACCCTCTTCTGGGATGTGACGCCTAATCGTCCACGTTTCGGAGGAACATACTGGCTCCTTTATCAGGATAGAATTGTAAGACAAGAAGGTAACCAGCAAGTCTAGAGTGAAAACCTGGTTCCGATAGGGCCACAAGAAGGAATCCACAGAGAACCAATAAGAGCAAGCAAAACAATAAATTTAGTTGGCCCTGAAACCGGCCATATTTTCAAACGTGTGTAGGTAAGTGGGACAAGCGACCAGTTGAATGTATAAGCAGACACAGAGATATCATGACGTCATATTCCAGAAGATTGTTCATAATGACTGCTGTGAGAACCTCAAATCCAGTAAAATATCTCCTATTTATAGACCGCGCAGCAAGAAAAAAGGTAAAGGTATCCCTGTAACAGGTCATGGAGGCCCACAAATTTGTGGGACGTCGAGGGTCGCACATTTTCTAGACAGTCGGTTCACAAATGACGGTGAATTTGTCAGCCTTACACTCCGGCCACCCTTTTCCCCCATGGAGATTCCTGATACTCATTTCTGTTAGAGGATGAGTCGACCTCAGGGACGTAATGCGGCTGTAAGGATTAGGTCAATTGAAAATTCCAGGGACCTCATCGGGAATCGAACCCGCCCCCTTCCGTCGAGTACCTTCATTAAACTAACGACACTGACTATAATGCATGAGTAACTGTAAAGCAACTGCACTCCGCTGAAGTGTGGGGTAGGAATTCTCCATTCAGAGACCGTCAGACATTCAAGGCTCTTGAAGGCGGGAGGGTTTCCAAGTGTCCAACACAGTGAAATGGTTCATTTAAAAATCATGACTACAGGAAGGAACACAAAGAAAATGCCTATTCTTTTGCGTGTAAGAAGATTTGAAGCATGAATTTTTAAAATCGTTTTAGAAAATGAAATGAAGTCTTGTATGCTGCTAGCGTTGTGATATTGAATTGTTTCGCGAGGGAGAAGCAGTTTTTGTTGCCGAAACAGAAGTCTGTACCAGCCAGAATACGGCATTGCTTATCATGCGTCAGGTAGATTTAATTTGAGCACCAAATACTCATTTTAAACAGACAGCAGATACTGTAAGAACAACGACATATGTACACGGAGTTGGGACAGCTCAGTAGACACAGCATGTAGTCTGCAGAATGGACGATCTAAGAATCGGGTTTCGACTCACGGACATCACTTGGAGTGCTTCCAAGGAGAGGCAGCCTGGCTACTGGCTGGAAGCCCGGAGTTCGAACCCGGCAGTGGGAAGATTTTTTTTTCTCCGGGGCCCACTCATCCTCCTATCCTGTGGGTACTGGAGGTGATTACCCTATGAGGTCAAAGCGGCCGGGGCGTCAGGCTCACTACTCACCTCCTTCGAGTGCCGAGGTCAAACTAATGGGGCTATGCCTCACCTCCCTCGTTTGTCTTCATGGCACAGTGCTTAATTAAGCACATGGAACAGTTTTTAGGGAACACACGGTAGCGTAGTTGGTTAAGGCTCCATGTTACAAGCCGGAAGGTCATGGGTTAGATTCTCGATGAGGTCATTTAAATTGACCTAATCCTGCCGGCCGCATTATGGCCCTGGGGTCGACTCATCCTCTAAGAGAAATGAGTACCAGGAACCTTCCTGGGGGGTAAAGGGCGGCCAGAGCGTAAAG